TCGATCTGTATGAAATGAAAGATCTTCTAATGAACAGCACTAAAAATTAGTCGTTAGAATGAGAATGGAGGGAGGGAGGGATAGTAATTGCTAAGATAAGAGTGATTATGGCAAATGACACATCTTCCAACAATATAGAGGGTGGGTGGGCGGGGCTAGTACTTGTTCAGATAAGATTGATTTTGGTAGATGACATATCTTCTATAAAAAAAAGGGTGGATGGGCGGGACTAAAACTTGCCATCCTAGTACCGAACAATTTTAAGAGTAGTCACTGGAACGAAGAAGGGGTGGGTGGGCGGGGTTACTGCTTGCTCATAAAACTGGAAGTAACCTAAATTTAGCCCCACCCACCTTATTTCTCCATTTCACTGACTTATTTTATTTAGTGTAAAAATGAAAATTGAAAAATAATTTTGATAAATCAAAAATTGAAAAATTGAATTGCAACACTGAAAATCGAAATATTGAGAAATCGAGAAGTGGATAAATTGAAACATTGAAAAGTCGAGAAACCACGAAATGAAAAAATCGAAAAGTCGATGTTGAAAAATTGGGAAATAGCAAAATCAAAAAACCAAAAAATTGAAAAATGAAATATAGAAAAACTGAAAATTTAAAACATTGAGAAATCGAAAAGTCGGGAAATTAGCCCAAAATCGAAAAATCGGAAAATTAAAAATGGAAAACGATCGAAAATCGATTAATCGAAAAATTGAGAAATCGAAAATTCAGGAAAGCTCAAAATTGAAAAAATGACAAATCGAAAAATTGGGAAATCGAGTAGTCAAAAATTTGAAAAATTGAGAAACTGAAAAATCGAAACATTGGAATCTCGAGAACTCATGAAATCGAAAAGTTGAAAAATGGCAAAATAAAAAATTTTAAAAATCGGAAAATTGAAAAATACTAAAACTGACATACCGAAAAATTTCAATTTTAAAAAAGTTGTCTAAAAATTGTGAAAACAGTCAGGGACGTAGATCTCGACATGCTGATTCCAAAAACATAGCGTGTTGATGGTCACCGAGCAACATTTTCGAAAGAATCACTACGAAATGGGAATTTTTGAGAATTTCTAAAAATTTCGATATTTCGACGGTCGATTCCGGAAAAACGGTTGCAGTTATCAAAGAAACGAATCCGAAAGTGAGTTCTAGAGCTCGAAATCTACAAGAAAATGTATTTAGTTAAGTTTCGAAAATGTCAAAAATTGACCGAAATTTGAAGAAGGGGGGACCATTGGAAAAATTTCGGTTTTAAAAAAGTTGTCTAAAAATTGTGAAAAAATTCAGGGACGTAAATCTCGACATGCTGATTCCAAAAACAGCGTGTTGATGGTTACCGAGCAACATTTTCGAAAGAATCACCACGAAATGCGAATTTTTGAGAATTTCTAAAAATTTCGATATTTCGAGGGTCGATTCCGGAAAAACGGTTGCAGTTATCAAAGAAACGAGACCGAAAGTGAGTTCTAGAGCTCGAAATCTACAAGAAAATGCATTTAGTTAAGTTTCGAAAATGTCAAAAATTGACCGAAATTTGAAGAAGGGGGGACCATTGGAAAAATTTCACTTTTAAAAAAGTTGTCTGAAAATTGTGAAAAAATTCAGGGACGTAGATCTCGACATGCTGATTCCAAAAACATTGCGTGTTGATGGTCACCGAGCAACATTTTCGAAAGAATCACTACCAAATGCGAATTTTTGAGAATTTCTAAAAATTTCGATATTTCGACCGTCGATTCCGGAAAAACGGTTGCAGTTATCAAAGAAACGAGACCGAAAGTGAGTTCTAGAGCTCGAAATCTACAAGAAAATGTGTTTAGTTAAGTTTCGAAAATGTCAAAAATTGACCGAAATTTGAAGAAGGGGGGACCATTGGAAAAATTTCAGTTTTGAAAAAGTTGTCTAAAAATTGTGAAAAAATTCAGGGACGTAGATCTCGACATGCTGATTCCAAAAATATAGCGTGTTGATAGTCACCGAGCAACATTTTCGAAAGAATCGGTACTAAATGCGAATTTTTGAAAATTTGATAAGAAAATATTGATTTTGGCACTTTTGACATTTTCGACCATTTTTCAACGACATGTATCCGAAAATTAAATAAAAACATTTTCTTTGAGATTTCGATATCCAGAACTCATTTTCGGCTTCGTTTCTTCTGAAATTCCTACCGTTTTTCCAAAATCACTAATTGAAATATGTACATCAATTTTTACAGTTTCGTCAAAATCAATCGCTATGAAAATTTTGTAAATAAAAAAGACAATTATTGTCAATTTTTGTTTCACAAAATACAATTGTTTCAAGAAAGTACTTTGTAATTGTTATATATCTACACAAATATTTAAAATTAGTTTATTTGGGACAATAGAGAAGTTAGATCAGGTCAGGTGCACGAAATAAGAAATAAATTTTATAGCAAATACTAAAACAAAAAAAGTTACGATTAGGGTTTTTTTTTTACTTTTTTCACATCCGAGATTCTATTAATTATTAGTTTCCACTCCCTCTCGACACAACAACATAATTAGCCCCGCCCACCCACCTTGTCTCCTTTTCAGTGACTGTTTTTATCCGAATGAAATGAATGCTCTTATCCTGAACAGAAATAAAATTAGTCGTTAGAATGAGAAGAGGGGGGTGAGCGCAGCTAGTACTTGCTAAGACAAGACTGATTTGGCAAATAACATACCTTCCAAGAAAATAGAGGGCGGGTGGGCGGGGCTACTATTTGATAAGATAAGATTGATTTTGGCACTTTTAACATTTTCAACCAATTGTTTCAAGAATGTACTTTGTGGTTCTTATATATTTTCAGAAATGGTTAAATTTTTTTACTTTTTTCACATCGTAGATTCTATTCTATTAGTTTCCACTCCTACTCGACAAAAGAACACAATTAGTAGCCCCGCCCACCCACCCTTTCTCCTTTTCAGTGATTGATTTTATTCGATCTGTATGAAATGAAAGATCTTATAATGAACAGTACTAAAAATTAGTCGTTAGAATAAGAATGGAGGGGGGGAGGGATAGTAATTGCTAAGATAAGAGTGATTATGGCAAATGACACATCTTCCAAGAATATAGAGGGTGGGTGGGCGGGGCTAGAAATTGTTAAGATAAGACTGATTTTGGCAGATGACATACCTTCCAAGAATATAGAGGGCGGGTGGGCGGGGCTAGTACTTGTTCAGATAAGATTGATTTTGGTAGATGATATATCTTCTATTAAAAAAGGGTGGATGGGCGGGGCTACTGCTTGCTCATAAAACTGGAAGTAACCTAAATTTAGCCCCACCCACCTTATTTCTCCATTTCACTGACTTATTTTATTTAGTGTAAAAATGAAAATTGAAAAATAATTTTGATAAATCCAAAATTGAAAAATTGAAATCCAAAACTGAAAATCGAAATATTGAGAAATCGAGAAGTGGATAAATTGAAACATTGAAAAGTCGAGAAAGCACGAAATGAAAAAATCGAAAAGTCGATGTTGAAAAATTGGGAAATAGCAAAATCAAAAAACCAAGAAATTGAAAAATGAAACAGAAAAACTGAAAAATTAAAACATTGAGAAATCGAAAAAATGAAAAATCGAAAAATCGGAAAATTTAGCAATCGCAAAATGAAAATAAAAATCGATTAATCGAAAAATTGAGAAATCGAAAATTCAGGAAGGCTCAAAATTGAAAAAATGACAAATCGAAAAATTGGGAAATCGAGTAGTCAAAAATTTGAAAATTTGAGAAACTGAAAAATCGAAACATTGGAATCTCGAGAACTCATGAAATCGAAAAGTTGAAAAATGGCAAAATAAAAAATTTTAAAAATCGAAAAATTGAAAAATACTAAAACTGATATACCGAAAAATTTCAATTTTAAAAAAGTTGTCTAAAAAATGTGAAAAAATTCAGGGACGTAGATCTCGACATGCTGATTCCAAAAATATAGCGTGTTGGTGGTCACCGAGCAACATTTTCGAATAAATCGGTACGAAATGGGAATTTTTGAAGATTTCTAAAAATTTCGATATTTCAACGGTCGATTCCGCATAAACAGTTGGAGTTATCAAAAAAACAAGACCGGAAGTGAGTTCTAGAGCTCGAAATCTACAAGAAAATTAATTTAGTTAAGTTTCGGAAATGTCAAAAATTGGTCGAAATTTGGTGAAGAGAGGACCATTGGAAAAATTTCACTTTAAAAAAAATTGTGAATGTAAATTTAGCCAACTTATTATATGCATTATAACTGTCGTTACTCGGGCGATAATTACACTTTGTACTGCGAAAAGCAATCCATTTTCATAACTTGTTTGTAATTAATTTCCATTTGCATAGACGTTCAACACTTTCATGACATTTTTAGCGAATAGCGGAAATTGTAATATGTTTGAGGCGAAGTTCATATTTTTTTGCTATAATAAAATTTTGTTTACTTTTAATTATCGTAAGGAATTTGACCGGTGCTACGTGCTGGACTAGTAGACTTCGATACTGTTTCGCATTTATATTTTTTAATCAGTGAACTTTACGTTGTGTTAACATAAAACGTATCGGTGTGACCTTATTTTGCATATATTACGTGAACAAAGCCACACACACATTTTTTTGTTTGATAATTACAAAAACAGATAATAGAAAAGTGATTTCCTATTTTTACTTATCAAGTTATCTAGTTTAAGTAAAATTAAAAATAAGTAAAACAACACTCAATGAAAAAGAGTCAATTTAGGTCAGGGCATTCACTCACCTGCTTGCCATTTTATTTATTAAAAACCGATACTCACTTGAAAAAAAGTCAACGTTTCTCCTTGAACCATAAAACTGCAGTCGGTAATGTATAATTAATAAAGGATATTAAAACAATGCAGTTCGAAATGTAAATAATTTAATAAATTTTTTTGTAAGCAGTTGCCACACTTGAAAATGGTTGTGACGTCACACAACAAAAACGAGCTCGCTTTCGCCACTAATTCAATACGTTTTGAACGCAGGCCACAGCCGCACCATCATGGGCATCGAGGTCCACCGCGACGGCGGGCTCATCCTCCTCGTCCTCGACCCCAGCCACTCGCCCCAGCAGATGGCGCAGTTCGGCGACACCAACAGCTCGGCGGTGGCGCTGCGCCTCCTCCGGAAGAGCGAAGCGGCGATGAAAGCGCGCCAGTACCAGATCGTGGCGGTCGTCGGAACCATCGACTCAGATCAACAGTATCAGGTAAATATTTTTGTGAATTTGTTCGAAAAATAACTTAACCTGACTTTCCGCAGCAAAGTAAAATTTTGAGGGGCACCCGAATACCGCAGGACCGGTGAGGTTGAACGTCTCCGAAAGTAACCAATAAATAAATATATCCACTTTTCACCACCTCTGCTGTTCATATTAAAAAAAATTACAATATGGGGGAACTTGTGTGATTCTTGCCACTGTTACAGCGTTTTATTTTTTGATCTCATGGCCTCGAGATGTCAATAAGTAGGTAAGGGTGGGCATAGATTCTATTTTTTTTTGTTTTGAGGTTGGTAGAGCTCACCTTGACGCAAATCGAGTGATTCTTGAACAATATTGAAACAAAAGTTGATATTACTGTTAACAGTTGATGAAACTATTTTGACTAAGAGCTTTAGGGAATTGTTTTTTTCTTGGGTTTTTTTGACACTGTTGTAGTTTTGTCGAAGTGCTTGTTGCTCTTTTATTTATTACTTTTTTGTCATACTAGTCGTAGGTTACGTTTTGTTGTTATTTAATATTATCACCTTTGAATTTTACCTATATACACCTCATTACAAATGTACAAAGTAAGAGAAAGTCATGGTTTATTAAAGATTCATTGAAGGTGTTTGTATTATTTGCCGAAATCGGTCCCTTCCAGCTTGTTTTGTTAGGGTGGCGAAGTTCCATATGGTATATTGTGAAACCCATCGATCTGAATTTAAACCAAGTGAGAAGTAATCCTGTAAATAGATGCACCAAATTATAGGATTGCTTGAATTTAATTTAATACGGAATAAGAAGTGGGATCTTTTAATGTTACAAAAAATCTAGTAGCGCCATCTGTAAGCAGATGTGAGAAGATTAATATTGTATTCGCAACTCAATCAATTAAATAACGAGAGATCAAAAAGTTTTTAGACTATAGTTGACCGTGGAAATATTTGTCATGTTTTTGATTAAAATGCAAATGTCAAAATCAAAGTTTAATCAAAGACATGACAAATATTTCCAAAGCCAACTCTAAATCTAAAAACTTTTTGATCACACGATATTTAAATGGCGGATGTTGAATTGAAAAATCACTTAGAGTAGGCGTTGGAATATCATTTGATAGAAACGGTATGTCTGTTCTTATAACATATGCAGCAGGTTATGTTTCTGCCAAATGGATGTTATATAATATAAGAACAGACATGCCGTTTGTGTCAAATGTAATTCCAACGCCTACTTGGAGTGATTTTTAAATTAAACACCCGTTATTTCGGATTTGAAATGAAAACCGGGGCGTTCGTTTTGAAAGTTTTTTACTTTTACAAAATTGCAAAATCGTAAACTTGAAAAATCGCAAAAATGGAAAATCTGAAAATTTTAAAATTGAAAAAGTGAAAATCGAGAAATTGAAAAAATAAAGTCGACAAATTCAAAAATTTACAAACTGATAACACTGAAAAATCAAGAAATTCAAAACTAAAAAATTGTAAAATCGCAAAACTGTAGCATCGAAAAATTTAAAATTAAAAAACTCAAAAATTAGTACATAAACCGATTTGCAAAATCGTAATAACATTAACAATTTTATTTTGTTGTAGAATTAAATAAATGAAAAATTTAAAAATCCAAAAGTGTATTGAGAAACAGGAAAATTGCAAATCCAAAAATTTTAAAAACAAAAAACCGAAAAAATGTTAAATTAAAAGATTAAAACTGGAAAATGAAAAATCGAAAAGTCCAAAAATACATACATATCTAAAAACGAGCACTTGAAAAATACATATTTAGTTTTTCTTCAATTTTTGGATTTATTTAATTTTACAATTTTACAATTTCTCCATTTTTAAATTCTTAATTTTACAATTTTTCATTTTTCATGTTTCGTTTCTTCAGTTTTTAACCCAAAAATTGAATAATTGTTGAGAGAATTAGTTACTAAAAAATCGAAAAATTAAACCGGAAAATTAAAAAATCGGAAAATTTGTAAATTGAAAAGTTGAACAATCAAAAAATAAGGAACGAAAAATCCAAAAATTTAAAATCCAGGAAGGAAAAATTGTAAAAGATAAAAGTAATAACTCGAAAAATTACAAATTCAAAAATTTAAGAAACTAAAAAACTCAAAAGTTGATAAATTGAAACATTTTAAAGAAATTGAAAAAGTAAAAATCGACTAATTCAAAGGTTGAAGATGAGAACTAGAAAATTTACGAACTGGTAAAATAAAAAAATCGGCAAATTCAAAACTTAAAAATTAGAAAAACGGAAATTGTAAGAATATGGAAAAATTTAAAAATTTAAAAGGTGAAATTGGATCATCAAAAAACTCAAGTATTAATACATAAACCTGATTGATATATTCCAAAATTGTATTATTAATAATAATAACTTTATCAAAAATCGAGAAACAATAACTGAAAAATTAAACAAATAAAAATTCAAAACATTACAAAATCGCATAATTATGAAATTGGAAAATTGAAATATCTCAGAATTGTAATAACTAAAAGTTAAAAAATAAAAAATTTTTTTTTTCGTTTTTTCAATTTTTCGATTTTTTAAATTTTAGGGTTTTGGAATTTCTCACTTTAATTATAATTTATAATTTTTCTATTTTTCAAGATTTTGTTTCTTAAATTTTTTCACGAAAAATTAAAAAAATAATAAACGAGAAACTGAAAACTCGAAAAATATGAAAACTTTTAAATCGAAACATCCAAAAATTGCAAAATCGTGAAATGGAAGAAACGAAAGAATAAAAAAAATCGAAAAATGTAAAATTTAAAATATCTGAAAAGTGAAAAATTAAAAATCTAATCAAAATGGTAAATTCCAAAAATTGAAAAATTAAAAGAAATTAGCAAATAAAAAAGCGACACATTGAAGAAGCGGAAAATTAAAAAATCGAAAAATTCGAAAGTTAAACAGTTGAAAAATAAGAAACGAAAAATACAAAAATTCAAAATCTAGGAAATTAAAAATCGAAAAATTGATAAATGCAGAAGCTGAAAAACCAAAAAATTGTAAAATATAAAATTAAGAACTCGAAAAATTACAAATTGAAAATTTAAGAAACAAAAAAAACTCAAAGATTGGAAAACTGAAAAATTTAAACTTTTTAAAAATATAAACTAGAAAACTTACAAAATGAAAATCAAATTGAAAAATCTACAAAATTTAAAAATCACAATCAAAAAAATGATAATGTAAAGATCAAAAATTGAAAAAAATAAAAATCGATAAATTCAAAAATTGGGATACTGAGAAGTAGAAAATTTACGAATTGCTAAAAAATAAAAAAAAATGACAAATTCAAAGCTTATAAAAATTGGAAAAACGAAAATTAAAAAAATTAAAAATAGAGAAATTGAAACATCAAAAAACTTAAATATTAATACATAAATCTAATTGAAATATGTATTGCAAAATCGTATTAATAACAATAACTTCACTGAGAAACAAAAATCGAACAATAATTGTAAAATGAAGAAAATGAAAATTGGTGAAATTAATAAAATAAGAAAAAAACATAATTAAAAAATTGAAATATATAAGAATTGTAAAAACTAAAAGTTGGAAATAAAGATTTTGTTTTTCGTTTCTTCAAATTTTCATTTTTGTTTTACGCTTTTCCGGTTTTTCAATTTTAGTATAATTTTTATTTTTTCAATTTTTCAGTATTTTGTTTCTTAAATTTTTAAACGAAAAATTAAAAAACGAAAAACTGAAACCTCAAAAAATATCAAAACTATAAAATCGAAATATCCAAAAATTGCAAAATCGTAAAATGGAAGAAAGGAAGGAAGTTTAAAAAATCGAAAGTGTAAAATTGAGTACTATTAAAATAGGGAATAAAAAATTAAAGATCGGGAAACGGAAAATCGCGAAACTGAAAAATCATAAAATTAAGCAATGGCGAAATTAAAATCGAAAAATTCAAAATTTAAAATATTTGAAAAGTTAAAAATTAAAAAAAAATAGCAAATTTAAAAGTTGAACAATCGAAAAATAAACGAAAAATCCAAAATTGAAAAATGTACACAACTGAAAAATCACAAAAATGAAAAATCGATAAATTTAAAAATAAAAAAACTAAAAAACTTAAAAATTGGAAAAACGAAAAACTGTAAAATTGAGTCACTAAAATATTGAAAAACTTAAAAATTGAAAACAGAGAAACTGAAACATCAAAAAACTCAAAAAATAAGTCATCTAATTGAAATATGTATTGAAAAATTGTATTAATAATAATTATAATAACTTCATCGAAAATCAAAAAACAATAACTGTAAAATTGAACAAATGAAAATTCGAGAAATTATCGAAAAATTTTTTGGTTTTTTCAATTTTACGGTTTTGCAATTTCTCGAATTTTCAATTTTTTCATTTTTCAGTTTTATAATTTTTCAATTTTCAGTCTTTACTTTCATAAATTTTTAAACGAAAAAATGAAGCAGCTGGACAGTCGGAAAGATAAGAAAACTAAAATCGAAAAAATGAAAAATTAAAATATCTAAAAATTGCCAAATTAAAAATCCAGAAACTGAAAATTTGAAAAATTTCAAAACTAAAACCGAAGCATCAAAAAATTGAAAAATACAAAGATCCAATAAATAAATACTCGAAAACGGCAAAATCGTATAATTAAAAAGTCATAACTTTAAAAATCGAAAAATTAAAAAATAAAAATCGACGAATTCAAAACTTAAAAAAATTGAAAAAATGAAAATTGTTCAAATCACTAAAATATCGAAAAAAATTAAAATTAAGAAAGTGAAGGATCAGAAGAAATGAAAAATTAAAAAATCTAAAAATAAACGAAAAGTCAAAATTAAAAATCGAGAAACTGGAAATTCGAAAAATTTCAAAACTAAAATCGAAACATCGATAAAGATTTAATAAATGAATACTAGAAAAATTGCAAAATAGTATAAACGAAAGATCAAAAAATTAGAAATCGATAAATTTAAAAATTGAAAAATTGAAAAAATAAAAATCCACAAATCCAAAACTTAAAAAAGTTGGAAAAACGAAAAATTGTTCAATCGAATTACTAAAATATCGAAAAATTTTAAAATTGGGAAAATTATTTTGTCGTAGAACTGAATAAATGAAAAATTAAAAAACCGAAAAATATACAAAAAGTCAAAAATTAAAAATCGAGAAACTAAAAAATTAAAAAATTGATAAATTCAGTAATTGAAAAACCGAAAAATTGTAAAATATAACATCGAAAAGTTACAAATTTAAAAACGGAAGCGACAGATAAAATAATACAAAATGTCCAAGTTCACAATTCTTTAAAATTTCGGTTTGAATAAATTTGTCTTTTTATTGAAAAATTGGAAAACCAAAAATCGAGAAAATTAAAAATCAGACGTCGAAAACTTGCAAAAATCGAAATCTAAAAACTGCAAAATAGCAAAATTTTAAAATTGAAAAATCATAAAATTAAAAATCGCAAAATTGAAAAACCGATGAATTTAAAAATCGAAAAATTGAAAAATAAAAATTATCAAATTCGAAACTTCAAAATTGGTAAAACGAAAAACTACAATCGAAGCACTAAAATATCGAAAAATTTTAAAACTGAGAAAGCGAAAAATCAAAAAACTGAAAAATGAATACAT